AACTCGTATTTTTAATTGTTCTAAGGAAGTTGTTAGGGGACTGTACAGTCCTCTAACGCTACCCACTCAGGGAGTGTGCAGTCCCCTAAAGCTGCTTTTGGCACTGGGGGACTGCAAAGTAACAACCTTTGACCTTGGAATCGAGGACAACAAGCCATCATTAGACATTAACAACATTTAAATTTCCTCCCAGGACAAATTGACAACATGTCTGATTTGGCTGTTGGCGATGTTTTTGGCAACTATGATGTTCTGTTTTTAAAAATTAATGAGTAGGCCCTATGGTAGAGTCACCCTTTTTTCTTTTTTTTTTGGTGAAAGTTTTGTTGATCCAGTAGAATCGACGTAGTCTAGATCTAGACCAAATCTGGATCTATATTGTAATAGTTCTTTCATTGTAGGTCTAGATCTAGATCTAGATCTATCTAGGTCTAGACCCTACTGATACCTAGATCTAGATCTAGCAACTGTTAAGTGTATGAGTGTGGTGGGAGAATCTAGATATAGAGCCAAACACGGTTTATTTAAGGCGAATTCATATTTCTATGTCGACAGGTTTGTTGATCAAGAATAGGGTCTATCTTGATTAGATCTAGAACTAGATATAGTAGTAGAACTACTTATGACGTAGACTGTATAGACAACACTACATGGTAGTCTGTGTCTATAATATATAAAATCTAGGCCTAGATCTAGTTTAGTAATACCAAAGATTCTCTACTACCAAGATATAGCAATGGAAGTTGTTAGGGGACTGTACAAAACTCAAAACCTAAACAAAATAGATCTAGATCTAAAAAGGGCGGAAACGAAAAAACCTGGGTGAGAATAACATAGATCTATTATACGTGGAGTATTCTCACCCTGGGTGCGAATACTTACACCAAAAGCCCAAAGAAGGATTGTAGTACCTTGGAAGTAGAGAATCTTTTGTAATACTGATACTAGGCCTACTACTTGGCCTAGATCTAGTCCTAGATATATAGACACAGACTGGAATTTTTTTAAATTGAAGAAGAGTAGACCTGCCATGTAGATCTAGTACAGATCTACCCTACAGTCTATGTCATTAGTAGGCCCTACTACTAGATCTAGAATCTAGATCTAGACTCTAGATAGATCATCAAACCTGTCGACATAAACGCCTTAAATAAACAGTGTTTGGCTCTAGATCTAGATTCTCCCATCATACTAATTAACTATCAGTATCAGTAGGATCTAGATTTGTCCGATGATGGCTTGTTGATCTCGATCCAAAGCCAAAGGTCAAAGGCCTG